CACTATCTCTGAAATTCTCCTTTTACACTAATTTCTCTCATTTCCCCCTAAATGCCCCTCAGTACCTCTGGTATCTAGTACAACTCCACACCCCTAAAACAGCCCTCAATATCTCAATACTCCCTGCAATGCCCTCTAAATTGTACACTACCTTTTACTCTATCAATCCCCCACACCCATGCTTCAATCATCCCCTTTAATATCTGCCAATTAAACCCATCCTCAATATGCCTGCACCACCTCCGAACCCTCATGAACAGTTTTAATACACCTCATACACATTCTCAAATCTCTGTTCCTGCCATAGAAGCCCCATGTGTGCTTCTGATGCCTTGACACCTTCCTTTAGCTTAATGACTCCCTGCTGCAACACTCAGGCAACCAAACACTACACTCATCTCAATATCCTTGTACTTAACCATTGTTACCCTTTTTGTCTAACTTCAACTGAATGTTCCCTTTCATCCAATATCAGTGGCTGCAACATCTCCCTCATTTCATGCTCCTATACTAATGCCAGTGCCTTCTATACCTGCCCTCAGTCTAATAACCCAACATTTATCCTTCATGACCTTACAACTGCTTTAGCTCAACGCCTCTACATTTGTCTTCTTTGACATCTCCTGTCAGCTCAATACCCCTTATACTATCCCTCACCTTAAGTCTCCCCAAAGCACTCCACAAACAATCAGGTATTTTTGAACTATGATTGCTGTTGTAATATAAACTTTCTGTTGGAATGTAAGTGAATTACTTGTGTCATATTGTGTGATGTAAAACCTTGGAGCATAACCTTGAAGCTGCTTTTTAAATTAATTGATAGAGGCCTCAAAAATGGGCAGTGGTGACCAACAAAACTCTCAAGGTTTGGTTTTTACTTCGTTTGTGGGATGTGGGCTTTGCCAGCTGAGCCCAGCTATTGCCCATCCCTAATTGCTCTTGAGAAGGTGATTGTGAGCTGCCTTTTTGAACCATTACAGCCCTCAGGACATAGTGACATCCATAGTTCAGTTAGGAAAGATTTTTGACCTAGTGACAGTATAGGAATGACGATATAATTCCAAGTCAGGATGGTGTGTGACTTAGAGGAGAACTTATAGGTGGGGTGTTCCCATGGATCTGCAGCCACTCCCCTTCGAGGTAATAGAGGTCACAGGTTTGGGAAGTGCTGTTAGAGGAGTCTTGGTGGTTTACTGCACTGCATCTTGTAGATGGTACCATTATGTAATAATGGTGAAAGATGAAATGTTGAAAGTGGTGGATAGGGTGCCAATCAATTGGGTTGCTTTATTCTCGATGGCATGAAACTTCTTGAGTGTTTTTGGAGCTGTACACATCCAGACAATAGTCCATCACACTCTTGACTTGAGCCTTATAGATGGTAGACAAGCTTTGGCGAGTTAGGAGGTCAGTTACTTGCTGCAGAACTCCGAGCCTCTAGCCTGAAGGTGAGAAAAGAAAGGGGACAAATATACAATGATTAAAAACAATCTTATCCCAGAATATCCTTCAAAGTAGGAAATGAAAATAATCTAATGTTAACATCATACAGTATAATTGCATATTAATTTTGATGACATAGCTCATGTCAATCATCATTGTGAAACACGATGAGCTCTTGGTGGAAAATATTAAGCAGAATAACTTCTTACTATTGGATAACCAAGTTTCCACAAAAGTTCAAATGGCCATCTTGCCATTTAATATAGAATCACTTTTCTTTTTGTTACTTTCCCATAATAACTGAATGATGATATTGTTTCATTTACATATTAATTGTATTTAGTTCATTTAATGTAAATATTGTATAATATTAAATTTCACTTTCTGGTTTGTTTGACACCACAAAGGTGGAGGAAATATACAGTGCCATATTTTATACTGACATGATTAAGGAGATTATTCATTTGATGAGTCATTTTGCTGCAAGGCCATGCAATCCAAGGCATACGTATTACTGGAAAGAGAATATGCTAAACTTCAAGAAACTAGACTCTTTGTAAGTAAGTCTGAATAGTTTACAATATTCATTGACCTTGTATGACCGGAAATACTGCACTTTCACACAGACTGCCTTTCCTCAGTTTCTCCCTCAATTTGACACAAAATCTGGGGTCAGAGCAAAGTGATTTGACCCCTTTCTGATTGATCTCATCTGTCATTTTCCTGCTTTGGGTTTCCATATTTGGTCAACTTGAACTTTTGAAGCATTGATCACAGACATATATGCTCTCTTTTTCTCGCCCAATAACTGTTTCCGTTTAATTTCCAGTCTCAAATTATTTTTGTTACCTACTCTACCTTTCAGTTTCACCGATATTATATCATGTTATTTCACTGTTGCCTTTGTATTCCTGTTTGCCTTGTTCTTTTTCTTCCTCCTCCCTGATTTCTTAAATCTTCCCTTCCCTCTGCCCCCTATTATTAGACCTCATACACTTTGTATCCCCTGAGACTGGCTTCGCCACACAGTGTTTCATGGTTAGATGACAAATGAGTTGAGGGAATTGTTTGATTTTGTGGTGGTTGGTATTTTTGAATTGTTTGTATTTAAGTAAATGTAAAAATGTTGAGCCAGTCTGTGCAAAATAATAATAATTGTTTGACCATCTCAGTGAAATTTAAACCAGTGAACATTCTGTATGTGAAATTTAAGCAATCTAATATTTGTTGCCGTGCAGACGGCAAGTTCATTTTTCCATATTTTACAATTAGGGACTGGAGACAAAATGTTTAAAATGTAGGTGTGGTATTGAATAATTTATCTGATAAGCAGGAATTTATATTTAACTGATAAATAGGATTTCCAAGGTGTACAAGTGCACTTCTTTTCTGCCTGTTTAACTTTGTTTTCCTGAAGAGAATGATTCATGCTCTGGTACAGTGGTGTGGGTAACAGCATCTATTCAAGTGAGCCAGGATGGTAGAGTCATAGACTCCCTACAGTATGAAAAGAGGCCATTTGGCCCATTGAGTCTGCACCAAACCTCCAAACCCAGTCCCCATCCTATCCCCTCAGGCTAATCTGCCTAGCCTGCACATCTTTAGTCACCACAGGGCAATTTAGCATGGCCAATCCACCCAACGTGCTCATCTTTGGACTGTGGGAGGAAACCCAGAGCACCCAGCAGAAACCCACGCAAACACAGGGAGAACATGCAAACTCTATACAGACAGTGACCCCAGGCTGGAATTGAACCTGGCACTGGGTTCCTGGCACTGTTAGGCACTAATGCTAACCACTGAGCCACCATGCCACAGAATTGGTAGATTATTTTACTGTGGAAGCCCGGATATCCTCGCTCACTGCTGAACTAGGTTGCTGAATGTTGCATGGAATCCAGAGGTGGGAGGAGGGCTTCTAATGAATATGTATCTTTAAAGTCACACAGGCACTTTAATAGTACAATATACTTTTATACAACTGCAGGGCATTACTTTGTCCCCAGTTAGGGACGATCTGTTAGAGTGGGTGGCCACAGTTCAGGGATTGAAAGATTCCCTCTGGGAAGGTAAGTGTGATCTAAAAGACAATTTAAAAAAAAATTATTTCTGAAAAATCATGTATAGTAGAAAGCAATAATTGTGATTCTTTTAACATCAGATGTTGTCAATTATTAATTTAAACCAAAAGTCTGCAATAAAAGCCTAGACGTCTGTTTCAGATCTTTGGCTGGTTCATAATTTCTTGCTATTTCTTCCTGTCTGTGCAGAGTTTTCAATTCTAATAAATCTGAGCTTTTTCACATCCTCTGTTTTCTTTCTTGTTTTATAATTGATAAATGAGATGGTAAATTCAAAAAGCATCTTTCTAGAGTTTAATGAGTGACACATGGGCTTGAAATTGTAAAGGAAATTCTTTCCTGAAGGAAGGAAGGTTGACAATGAATTTTCGGTTTTTATTGTATTCTGCACAAAGGATTAATTTTGTGGGTTTTTTTAATTCCCTGTTTTTCTGATAGTTTTCTTTCAACTGAAGTTCTGAAGAAAGGTAACTGTATCGAAACGTTAACTCTGATTTCTCTCCATGGATGCTGCCAGACCCTGCTGAGATTTTCCAGCAATTTCTGTTTTTTTTTGAGATTTCCGGCATCTGCAGTTCTTTTGTTTTTTTTTTGTCTGGTTGCAACAATGATTTGCATTCTGGGTTTTGTAATCCTAGTGGAAAGATTGTTGAAATGTTTACTGTGTGCATTAGAAATTAAGAATCATAGAATCATCATACAATCCCTACAGTGTGGAAACAGGCCCTTTGGCCCAACAAGTCCACACTGACCCTCAGAGCATCCCACCCACCTAATCTACACATTCCTGAACACTACGGGCAATTTAGCATGGCCAATCCACCTAGCCTGCACATCTTTGGACTGTGGGAGGAAAATGGAGCATCCAGAGGAAATCCACGCAGACACGGGGAAAATGTGCAAACTCCACACAGACAGTCGCCTGAGGGTGGAATCGAACCTGGGTCCCTGGCGCTATGGGGCAGCAGTGTTAACCAGTGAGCCACTGTGAAATTAGAAGAAACTTTTTTTACTGTATGTGCTGAATTAAAAATGAACTCAATGCCTATTAATTTTCCTTTTGTAAGTTTAATTGACTTTAAATATTCCCCAATGACTCCCCAAGGGACTGGTTAGTTTGGGATACCCTCATGTGCACTGTTTATTAATCTTAGCTGCAATGGTTACATTGTTCTTGATTTCTGTGACCCCTGATGGAAAGTGAGCACACTGTGTACGGCTGTGATGTCTCCCCTGGTAACTAGCCTATTTAGGGAATTCTGTTAAAGGTGCCCTTTACAACACTTTATCTGTAGAAAGTTGCACACTTTTAGCAGATGGCAGGTTTCCCTAAAGGACATGATGGTAAATCTGGACCTGGGTTCCTTTATGTTAATCGTATGGGCCAACATGAACAGAAAAGATTGTGCTCAGGTGATATCTGACCACGAAGCCATGGCCTTACAATCTTGTTCTTCAAACCTCTGCTCTTGAGCTCCTGTATGCCAGGATTTCTATATTGACTAAAACCTGTGTTTTTTACCTTACTAAGGTGCTGTCCTTCAGGTTTCCTTGAAGTATACAGAAGATTACAACTCAATCCCTCCAACTGTTACTTTCAATACAATTCCTTTTCATCCCAATGGTGAGTAACTGCAAACCTTCTCTTAATGAGTTTACCTGGGAACAACAGTGTCTTATTGAAGTTATGTTCATTAACTGTTAAAAAATAAAACTGGGTAGATAATCTGTTTTGTTATTAGGATTGGAAGCTATAGACCTAGTTGAAGTGATTCAGTATTGCATGATATGCAATGGAGACTGTGTTGCTGTGAGGAATAGAGAGCATTATCCACGGAGAACAGTAAAATTTTGTGGAGATGCAAGAATAAATGCCTGTTCTGGAGTTTTTGTCTCCATTTGTGATCACGCAGTATATGTTCAGAACATTCTTGGAGATTAATTGGTGCAGTAGAGGGCATGAGTGAATAACTTGTTTAGGAGTATGTGGAACATTATGGATATAATTGCCATGTGGCCTGTTCTTTATTACTACTTTTTTCATGTCCTCCTTATTTAAATAAAAATGTCATCAGTTGCTTGACAATTCAATCTACTTATTTTTCTGCTTATCCTTTGCTTACAGTGGACACAGTCACAGGCAAGCCATGTATAGACTTTCTTGATAATCCCAGGAAATGGAAAGAAGACTTCTCCTTGACGACCATCCTGCTTACCATTCAGGTGGGAGGACATTTTTATAGAAGTGATTTGTTTGCTGCCTGACAACTCAGTTGGTTAACACTCAGCATGGAATTGAGCCATGTAGACCAGAGAGGTCTCTATTTTCATTCCTCCTCAATGCTGGTTGAAGCCTGGTTGAAGTCAGACAGTTCATCTCAGCTCCTTGTGTTAAAGAGGGAAAATTTTTTGGGGTCCAAAGTCTAACATCTAAAGGGTCTGTATGTGGTGTCTGATGAGGGACATGATTGGATGAACCTGTGATGCTCTCATAGTTAAATAGCTAGAGATGTTCACCACTTTGACCTGCGTAAATTATTGGAGGCTAAATATTTTCTTCCTCCATTTTCTACTTCTCACTCTTGTCTAACAGAATGCATCAATATCTTGCTGGATGATGATCTTTGGTGTCATTGGTCTCCATGTTGGCTGGAGGGTGGCTGATGTTCTGGCTTTATTTAAGAAAAGCTGTAAGGAGAAACTAAGAATTGTAGACCTGTATGTCTCACCTCAATGGTGGTAAGTTGTTTGGAGATGATTCTGAAAGTTAGGTTTTACATGCAATTGGAGAGGCAAGGAGTGATTAGGGATAGTCGGCATGGTTTTGTGTGAGGGAAATTGTGTCTCGCAAATTTGATTGAGTTTCTTTGAGGAAGTAACCAAAAAGTGATGAAGGAAAAGTGATAGATATTGTTTACTTGGACTTTATTAAAGCCTTTGATGAGGTTCTGCATGGTACACTAATTAGTGAAGTTAGCTCAAATGGGATTCAAGGTGAGCTTGCCAAGTGGATACAAAATTGGCTTAACGGCAGGAGACAGGTGGTGGCGGCGGAGAGTTATTTTTAAGACTGGAGGCCTGTGACTAGCTGTGTTCCACAGAGATTGTTACTGGGTTCACATTTGTTTGTCATTTATATAAATGATGTGGATGAGAATATAGGAGGCATGGTTAGTAAGTTTGCAGATGACACCAAAATTGGTGGTATAGTGGACAGTAAAAAAAAAAGGTTGTCTAAGATTACAAAGAGATCTTGATCAGTTGGATCAATGGGCTGAGGAGTGGCAGATGGAGTTTAATTTGGATAAATGCGAGGTGTTGCATTTTGGTAAAACAAAGATGGGCAGGACATATATAACTAATGGTAGAGCCTTGGATAGTGTTGTAGAACAGAGAGATCTTGGGGTTTAGGTACGTAATTCTTTGAAATTTGCATCAAAGATAGACAGGGTAGTTAAGAAGATGATTAACACGTTTGCCTTCATTGCTCAGACCTTTGAGTATAGGAGTTGAGATGTCATGTTGAGGTTGTACAGGACTTTGGTGACGCCTCTTCTGCAGTACTCTGTGCAGTTCTGGTTGCTCTGTTTTAGAAAGGATATTATTTAACTGGAGAGGGTTAAGAAAAGATTTACCAGGATGTTGCCGGGAATGGAGGGTTTGAGTTATAACAATAGGTTGGATAGTCTGAGACTTTTTTCACTGGAGTGAGGCAGGTTGAGGGGTGACTTTATCGTGGTTTATAAAATCATGGGAGTTCAAAACCAGGGGGCATATTTTTAAGGTGAGAGGAGAAAGATTTAAAAAGGACATGATGAGCAACTTTTTTTTTAAAGAGAGTGGTTAAGTGGGGTGGGACTAGTTTAGTTTGAGAACAAGGCCAGTGTGGACTGGTAGGACGGAAGGGTCTGTTTCTGTTCTGTATGATTCTATGAGCATTCACTGTGTGTGAACCTTCACAGTGAGAGGCTATTTGATGGTAGGGACATCGTCACTGAATCAGATCCTTACCTCATTCAATGGCCGAACAAGCATATTTATAGCATGGAACGGGGGTGGGTGTTGAAACCTCTCTATTTGAATTTCAAAGCTGGGGAATTATTGGATAATGATCAAAAGCAGGGGCTATGACTCACTGTCCCATCTTTTATTTCATTCATCAATAGCATGTAGGCATCACTGACTGGGCCACATTAATTGCTTTATTGCCCATCCCAATTCCGCTGATGAAGATGATGGTGAGCTGCCCTCTTGAACTACTGCAGTCTTTGGGATATAGTACACCCTCACTCCTGTAAAGGAGTGAGATCTAGGATTTTGATCCAGTGACACTGAAAAAAACAATACAGGTCCAAGTCATGATCATGTGTGACTTCAAGGGGAATTTGGTGGCTCTTGTTCCTCTAGATAGTAGAGGTCATGGGTTTGGATGGTGCTATTTGAAAGAACCTTGATAAATTAATGTAATGCATTAAGCAGATGGTTTACATTGGGGTCATGTGTGCCAGTGGTGGAGGGAGTTAATGTTGTAAATGGGTGATAGGAAGCCAGTCAAGTGGGCTGCTTTGCCCTGGATGGTTTCGAGCTTCCTAAATGTTGTTGGAGCTGCACCCATCCAGCTAACTGGAGAGTTTTCCATCACACTCTCTACTTGCATCTTGTAGAGAGGCATTGGGGAAACAGAAAGTGAATTATTTGTTGTACTTTTCTGAGCTTTTCACCTGCTCCTGTAGCCACAAGGTTTATATGGCTCGTCCAGTTCAGTTTCTGGTCTATAGTAAACCCCTGCCCCCAGATTTCAAGGGGTTGTTGTTTGAGAAGTTTATTGCCTGGCACTTCTGTGGTGTGATAGTTGTTATATTGCTAGCTATCCAATCAACAAAGCAAGAAGCAGGATTTGGTCTGTCTTCCTCAACTGTTTATTTGCAGTTCATAATTCAATGCCAACTCCAGTCTGTTCCTTACCTCGGGTCAAAATACAACCTTTTTTCATGTTTTCTAATCAACCTGTTCCAGGAAGTTATTACACACTCCCAGAGCAGATATGACTTGAATCAAAGCAAAAATCATACTCATCGACCAACAAACCAGCTTTTTATGTTGATTTAGATATTTTTAATCAGCCTGTTCAGATGTTATGACACACTTCCGGACAGGTAGGACTTGAACCCAGGCCTCCTAACTCAGAGGCACACTAATACTGTACCACAAGAGCTTTTTGAAAAACAGTCCTTTTCTTATATCCAGAAGTGTTCTTACACAACTGAATGTTTTCTTTTTCCCCATCACTAAATCACCCACAGTATTTTTTTCCATCTTTTAACCATGACCAATAAATCATTCATGTTTCCAATTAAATAATTTATGTGCGAAGCCTGTGAAGGGCAATGCAAACCATCAAAGGTTACAGAGAGAAAGAGGGGGCTAAATCAAAATAGAGGAAAGAGGAAATACGTCCCTTCAATATATGTTCCAATGAGCATCAGCTGCTCTGTAACTCTGGAGCAGATCCTGGTTCATTCTTAAAACTTAACAAAGACATATTTACAGGAAAAGCTACAGATTTAAAAATAAATTTCCCCTTCTCAAAGTTTGTATTGAGATTGCTGAAGAAGGATGCCACAACAACCTTTTATTCAAGGCATTCCTTCTTGTAAGACAATACAATGATTGATTACTTGTATTTACTCATCTTAGTTTAGATATTTCTTTTCTCTCTTACATTTGCTTTAGACTTTCTATATCAGTTCTTGGTCTTTTCTCATTTACACACTTTGTAGGATATACACTATTCCAAACAGATCCATTATCTGTTTAGTATTCAATGAGTATTGTCCTTTCAGTCCCCTTTCCATTTTATTCTTCTTCCAAGGTGTTAGAAAAATAGACAGCCATATCTACTGCTTCGAGAGAGGTGTGCTACCCTCCTGGCATTTTTTAACTTCCTAAGCCAAAAAGCAACTATTCCCATTTTCTCCCATGTGGAATATTATGAACACATCATCAAAGTTGGCATGTGGGGCAACGCTGGACTAAACAATTGCAGTTCTTGGGTTCACCCAAATCTGGGAATTTCATTCTGCACTTCACTCTCTTTCATTTTTTAAATGTTTGTTCACCTTCAAGATGACCTCAACCTTCAGATTTCTCATCACTAGACTAAATGCTAACACATGAAAGCTTGCATCGAATCAGACCTAAACAATTTACCTGACCCACAAGACTCCATAGATATTCCATTTCATCTTCCTATGCAGCCATATCTTTTTGTGTAGACTTGGAATGACCAATTATAATGGGACTGACACAATCCAAGTAAGATTGTTACTGTAAAATTCCATCTGACTCAACCTGCTCCATCACCAAATTAACATATTTAAACAGTGCCAGAAGCCGGATTAACAGGATGTGAATTTGGTTATTTTGTAAGTTTTACAATCAGAAGCAGCAAACATTGAAAGGCATTAGCTTGCTTTTGGTTTAGAAGAATCACGAATTGATTCAAGAAAAAGCCATAGATAAGAAAGCTTTTAATTCAGTTAGCAGAAGACCTCAACAGGGTTAGAGGTAAGAACAGTTTCACTTGGAGAAAGAAGTTAGTTTGGAACAATTAGGAAATAAGTGTAAGGGTTTTAGTTTGAAAATTCCAAACCAGAAGTGTTTGGTTAGGGCCCTGAAGGCGTTATTTGAAGCTAAAACTGTTTAAGCTTGGTTGTGTAAATAATCAAAGAAAAATCTCAAGTGCTCAAAACAGGGAATTAAATGATACAGTTAATCAAACCTACAGAAGTGATAGAAAAGGAAACTTGCTCCCTCATATTTAAGTAATGTAAAGTGATGGTGTTGAGAGTAGATGGGATTTTATTTTGCCATTCATTTTAAAATCTTTCACATTTAATGACTTATTTAGATTGTTTAATGTTATCTTCACTTTTTTTATATAATAAACTTCTATTTTATTGTTAAAACCAAATCTGAAGCAATTTGTGCTTTTGGTGATAGACCGCCACATTAATTTTTTTTAAAAATGATCTAACAAGCCAGATTTCAGTCTGGGCTATGACCAGTCCAGTAGCAACATGAGCTGGGATCATGATACATTGCAGAATCTAACTTGAGTTAGTGCATAGCCTAACCTTGACAGAATTACCTTTGCTGTAATGTAATCAACCAGGGAAGCATGATTTAATTCACAAACACATTTATTTAACTTCCAGTATTTC